ACGGTATGGTGTTAATTGGCGGCTTGAGTTTCTACATTACCACCACGTACATTACGTGCAAATTCAACGAGATACATGGTGAGTTAATTATGGGCGTCAAGTATAACCTGCGCAATGTAATTTTACGGGCCATTCGTGAACACCAGTACTGGGACAGGCAGACAATGTTGGTAAATCGCACCATGAAAGATAGCATATTTGTCATATATTATATTTGCTCAATTATGATTGAATTAAGCATTTACTACATTCACAAACCGAGAAGCACCATGTTTATTAAACTATTTTTATGCATTGTAGTTGGATATGATTTCAGTACGTTATTGTTGGATACATTGTTGAGCACTCGTATACCTCGAGCCGCACACAAACCCTATCGACTATTAATCCGATATCTATCACAACCGGCGGTCAATCTGTCGGTTAGGGATCGGCTAAAAGTGCAGAGATTTGCGGAGCGTTTGTCAATCGGACCCACAATTGGTTTCTATTGTTTCGATTTGTTTCCTATGAATAGCGAAGAGTTCTATCAATTCGTATGCATTTCTGCAATGAATTATTTGCTAATCATTGGATTGTTTTAATTTTTAAATACCAATATATAGTATTATAATAATGTGTGGCTAATAATAGGATGAATGCAAAAATTTCATAATATGATTAATTCATAGTATGTTTATAATATTATACAATCACTATAATTAATACATTTCAAATATTTGTAAAATTTTAAATTTGAAAATAACTGTTCATTATTAATGTTTGTCTGGCAGGCAATCACACAATTTCGTTATAATGAGCTCTCACGAGTCAGTAAAGCATAATAGAAGTAAAGCATGCTAAAACTGTAAAACATTACCATACTAACGTTATTATATTTATAGATTTTATAATTTCACATTGTAAGTTAAAATTGTAAATATTATTTACTTAAAACGTAAATAAGTTAATGGTGAATCTCCTTGCTTCAATTGCATCACGTTTGTGTTGCTTGCGTTGCTTCAATTCCTGTTAAAATAATCATTTTAATGATTAATATGTGTATTTATTATATATTTTAAGTTCATGCACATTTCTTTAAATAAAAAGTTAAATATTATTAGTATTACTTCAGCAAGAAAATACAATATTCATATATTTTATTGTACCATATTTGATTTCAGAAAACTATACACTATGGCAAGTAATTGGTTAAATAACGTATTGGATAAATATTTATCATCGCATATCTCTATCAATGATGAACTCAAACACCTGGATGATTTCATAAAATACGTACATTTAACTTTAGCGGATAATACTAATAATTTTATGACCGGATACTATTCAAAATGGCGACTCACAAAATTTATCTTATTTAAATTTTCATTTCTGTACATGTTTTCTATAGGTTTAGCATCGGGTTTAATTAACCATACTGTATTCCTAGAAATAGTATCCATGTTCGATAATTCACCAACTAATAAACAGCTATGTTGTTTCATTACCTCGGCGCTTATACTAGTAACCATATGGATTCAATTTATTATGCTCTATCAACAATATTCAAGCAAACTATATTTAATCAAATTTATTTACGCTTTACAAAATCAAACAGTTTTATACTTGGTGTCTAGAATTTACGAAACACGCATTAGTCGAAAATTGGCCATGATTAATTGGTACTTGGTTAAGGTACTTTACAAACCTACTATTATATGGCTAATTGTCCTACATATTATTATTCTATATTTTTTAATTTATTCATCACAAATCACAATAGTCAATGTGGCAAACTACACATTAATCATGGTAATTAGCTGTATGTCATCGTTTGAATGTCTCGGTACAATATGTCTCTGTACAATGTTACTCATTGTGCCCATAATCTACCTTAAATACAAGTTCGCCGAAATATACAATAAGCTCGCGATGGCTATAGTATACAACAATCGGGCACTTTTAATGCGGGCCATCCGTGAACACCAGTACTGGGAAAGACAAACCCAAGCGATAAACCATACAATTCGTCACATTATATTTGACATGTATTACGTAATGTCTATCGCCATAGAGTTATGTTTGTATTATGTGCTTAAATCGGGTCCGGCTATATTGGGTCGTGTGCTGCTTAATGTGATAAGCGCATATAATATGTGCATTATTTTATCAGGCACAATGGCCGCCACCATGGTACCAAAGGCAGCCCACAAACCATGCCGTTTACTAAATACATATCTGTCAAAACCGACGGTCAATCTGTCGGTTAGGGATCGGCTAAAAGTGCAGAGATTTGCGGAGCGTTTGTCAATCGGACCCACAATTGGTTTCTATTGTTTCGATTTGTTTCCTATGAATGGCTATGAGTTCTATCAGTTTGTATGCATTTCTGCTATGAATTATTTGCTAATCATTCAATTGTTTTAATTGTTATTTAAAAATTGTCTTTTCTATTGTATTATATACTTATTAATTATTTATAAGATATAATTTTCAAAATATTAAATAGAGATTAAAATTTAATGTATTTAATGTATTTCCCAATTAATTAAATAATTTGTTTTTAAAGTTTACTATATTTACCAATATTAACCTATCAATGTTAAAAATATAACCTAAAACGCAATTTTAAATAAATATTTAATTTCCTAATCAAATAAGAAAATTATATATTTGAATGTTAAATATTTATTGACAATATGTTTAAAACAAATATTTATAATAATATTATTAATGATTGTTTTACAGGTAATACAAAAAACCATAATGGTTTTATTTGTAAGTTTGTCTGTTATTGTGAAAAATATTTACCAATTCAAAATCAACATTAATCATTATAAAACCAGTGAATATAGTAAACCAATACTACAATTAGTGTAATAATATAATATTACCGGAATTTTACTATTAATTTTACTTTGAATAATTATACGATTGCCTGCAATATACTCATTATTTAAAAATATAATTATATATCAGACAATTTATTGACAATTGTTTACTATATTTATAATAAATAGATTATATAAATATCTAAATAACAAGCACAAACTAAAAACCAATCTGGATTTAAAAATCTGTGTGCCACTAGTTAACCAAAGTTACTTTGACTTTAACTATTAAACTTGTTTTTATTATATGACAATGAATATTAAATATTTAATTTATCTATGTTGGTATCTTTTCAATATGACAATGTTTATTATCAAGAAGTTTAACAAGATATACACTATGGTAATAAATTGGCTAAAAAATATTACCGAAAATTATCTATCATTGCATGTATCTATTAGTGATGAGCTAAACCACCTTGATACATTTATGAAATACGTACACGTAACACTACCAGAAAATATTAACAATTATATAACTGGATATTTCTCAAAGGGCAGATTGAAAAAATTTATTCTAGCTAAAATTTGCATAATATTTATGTTTGGGCTTGGCCTAACGGCTGCGTTCATTAAACACCCTGTTCTAAGCGAATTTAGTACCATGATTATTAAGAATTACGGTAATAAACAGCTAACTGGCCTATTATATGCTGTAGTTGTACTCACCAGCGTATGGATCCACTTCATCATGCTGCACCAGGAATGTAATGGCAGATTGTATTTAATTAAATTTATACATTTATTACGTAGCAGGTCAATTTTATACCCTGTATCTAAATTATACGAAGGTCGTATTAGCAGGAAATTATTTATTATTAATGGCATGTTAATTAAATTAGTTTACAAACCTACAGTTTTATGGATTGTGGCAATGCATGTGATTGTTTTAGGTATATTAATTTATGGTCATATCACCTTGATTGTTTCATTACAAATCAACATGTACAAAGTAGCATGTTATATGATTATCCTGGTACTAAGTTGCCTTGGGTCGTTTGAATGTTTTGGTACAGTATGCCTCAGTATCATGTGGCTCGTTGTTCCCATTTTGTACCTCAAATATAAATTTCTGGAAATTTACAACATGGTAGCAAATGGTGTAAAGTCAAGTAATCGGTCACTTTTAATGCGAGCCATCCGTGAACACCAGTACTGGGAAAGACAGACCGAAGCGATTAACGCTGACATACGTTACGTGATATTTGACATGTATTACGTAATGTCTATAGCCATAGAGCTATCTGTTTATTATGGGTTTAAATCGGGTTCTACTGTATTGGGCCGTTCGCAAGTTAGTGTAGTTACCATGTTTAATATTGGCGTTATTTTATCAGGCACAATGGCCAGCATCATGATACCAAAGGCTGCTCATAAACCATGCCGTTTACTAAATACATATCTGTCAAAACCGACGGTCAGTCTGTCGGTTAGGGATCGGCTAAAAGTGCAGAGATTTGCGGAGCGTTTGTCAATCGGACCCACAATTGGTTTCTATTGTTTCGATTTGTTTCCTATGAATAGCAAAGAGTTCTATCAGTTTGTAATGATTTCGGCCTCAAATTATTTGTTATTAATCTCAATGTTGTAATTATTTTATTAAAATTTAAATAAAACATAATTTTAGTGTATAAGTAATTATTTAAATTTTATTAATAACATTTATGAAAAATTTTACAATTTAATGTTTAGTAATTTATATAGCCCGAAAAATGCGTTTTTAATGCTTTTGCACTGAAAAAATCATTTATAATTCATTATTACAAATATTAAAGCAATGTGTTAAAAGCAATGAATCAAACATTAGTTGTATATAAAGTTAAGTTTTTCAGTGACTAACGCATCAAGAACGCATTTTTTCGGTCTGTAGTAATTTATTTACTAATCTATATTAATATAATTAAATTTAACATAATAATTTTTAATATTTTATATAATTTATTTGCCACTGAATTCAGTATAGATGCAGTAAATATGATAATTAAAAACGTAAAAATTAAAACAATAAATAAGTGTATTATTAACAAAATTATATTATTTATATTAGATAATAGAAAATTAGATATCTTTATTATTATCTATATTAGAAAATTATAATAAATATTAAAATAAATATTTTATTTAGAACATTTACTCGGAGCGTTTCCAAATTTTCACCGCGACATTTTTAGGTCTATTCTCTATATTGCTTCGATACATATTAACCAGGCACGATGTAGCTGGTAACTCTTTACCACCCTCGACCAGCCATTTGCCCAGGCTCAAACTTCTATCTGTCACCTTGCCAAGTGACTTATACTTAAGGCCCTCAAATTGTTTTGTTCTGATAATTTCAACCCCGGTAAAGTTAGCCTCCTGTATGGCGCCAAACGCGCCGGAACCCTGGCCCTCTACACGGAAAAACAACCCTGGGTACTTATCGCTAACCTCTTCAAATTTAACATTTTTCCACAAAGTACCCGGTTCATCGGTGCCTGGCAGCTGGGTGTAAACAAAGTTAATGGGTACGGGATTTTTAATAATATCAATCATATCTTTATAGTCTACAGTTAGGAGATTATTAATGCCTGCAATCTGTTCGTCAAATTGTTTGATAGCGTCAGCTAATTTCGCTTCGGCCGTGGTCACTTTTTTGTTAGTGGCCAGTAGTTGAGGCATATAGTTGGGACAGTTGTGTACTATGCGCTGGCATACCGTCAAACCCCGGCCAGTGCACGGGCCGTCCACCCATGCGCCAAATATGGTGGCCGTGTTGTACATCTGTATACACTCCTGGTGCGTTTGCCCGGTGTAAACGTAATTCTGGTACGACATGGCCGATTTGTCGACCCAGGTGATTGTGGTACCCTGGTGCAATATGCCCAGCCACGCGCTCAAAGCTTTGGTGGCGTACGGTTTGATCATGTCGTATATGAATTGATTTTCGGCTGCTGTCCATACGGTGGGTAGTGTTGCCTTTGGGTCCTCTTTAGCGCAGGCGGCCATCCCTTCGGCCGCTGTGCCGATAACCGAGTCAATGATTTTGAAACATTTTTGATCATGGTACGATGTCCACCCGCCAGTACAATGCCCGCTTGCCGATACATAGTTATCTAGTTGTAATAAAAATATATATTAATTAATAAATAAAATGAACTTGTTTATTTAATTAATTAATTTTGATTTACCGTTTAATTTAAGTAACAAGATGGCAAAAGTTATTTGAATTATCATTGTGAAAATTTTTTGTTTATTATTCACATTGGTAGAAAATTGTTTGAAATAAAGTAATAAGGTTAAATGTTTTGTGTAATAATTAAAGTAATTTTATGTTAATGATAAAATATTATTGTTTAATTAAGCGACAATGATGCATTGTCAATACAGACCAAACTAGTACACGTAATTTATAACTTATGTTATTTGTGTTCAATGATTCCTGGTAAATTAGCCTGTTCAAATAAGAGTTTGTGCACCATTTGTATGCAATGTAGTGTACATACAAATAAGTTAATTGACATTTAGCAAGTATTGGATTAATTATCGTTAATTTACCAGAAATGATTATTAGTTTAACTCAAAACAATTCTGTTTTATTACAAAGTAATTTGAAATATTTAGAGAGAGAGAGAGAGAGAGAGAGAGTGAGAGAGAGAGAGAGATTGAATTGTTTATTATTTGNAGAGAGAGAGAGAGAGAGAGAGAGAGAGAGATTGAATTGTTTATTATTTGCCATGTGTAAATAGTTATTTACCTAATAGTAAAGTCATTAGTTGTTGGTACATCTATGTTTGTCTATCTGTCAAATATTCCATTTACTATTTTATAATGAATATTTTTATTTCATTGTTTTGCAATGATTTAAAATTACATAATAAAATCTCAATACATTTATTGTCAATTAAAAAACTATTAATAAGATTTTTACTATTAATTATGCAAAAGTCAGCAGTACATTGTAAGTAATTTATTCAAACACTAGAAAATTACTACTAATAATTGAAATAGTATTTAAACATAATACATGTATTCATATACGTATTCGTATTTTAATTGATTGGTAACTTACAATTAAACATATTTAAGAAACACTAACATGCATAATATATTATATGCTTATAAACAATTAGTAAATAAAACTACAGTATTACTATTAATACATAGACAATAATAAATGTTGATGATTAACCCACACGCTTCCAGATCTTTATAGCTAGATTATTAGATTTAACCATTAAGCTTTTGTTCAATCCTTTTATTACATTAATTAAGCCACCAGTTGGCTCATCCATTTGCTCCCTATGGTCGGCCACCCCGGTAGAACTAGTGACTTTATTATTTAAATTATCAAGCTGATTATTTTCGTTTGAGCTTGCACTATGATCAAGGTGTTTTAAATATTGTTCCGTCACGTCAGTCCAGTTGGTCTGAGGCCACAGCTTAATCGGCTCCGACTGGTTGGGTAGTTGTATGTACACAAACCCAATTGGTACTGACCCTAAATTACCGCTAGAAGGCGCGTCCCTTTGCATATAATCTGACTCTAATTTGTTAATCAATAAGCTGTTTAACTCGTTTAGTTTTAGCAAGGTAACATTATTCTCATTGATAATAAGTTGTTGACTATTAACTAGCTTGGTCATATTTTCCATCGCATCGCTCAGTATTTCAATTGTCCACTCTTGAGGCCTGGCGCACAGGGCGTACGCCCGGCGCACACACGGCTCCGAATACCATTTGCCCAAAAAATTATTGTTGGTAGAAATTTGTACGCAATAATCGGCCACAACCTCCTGGAAACGATTGTTGAACAACGCATGCATTCCCCAACTTACTGGCTCATCATCATGCCAGTTTTGAAAGTTGGCCCCATTAATAGCGTTAGTCATACCGGTCCATACTTTATCTGTCTCGTGGCTATATGTAGCTAGAATTGTGTTGACAAACTCCTGTTCAGGTTCTGACTCGATGGTTATCAACGATGCTTTAGGGTGTAGTTCACTACACTCGCTCACAGCAGCCACTTTGTCCAAACGTATTGGTATTACTTTAAAACATTTTTCCTTATTATATGCGATCCAATCATCGCATAGATTCATATTAATAGTCATTGAGTTTACAATAACTATAATAATTGTTAGAAAATGAAATTAATTGTTTAATTATTATAATTGCTATAATTCTAAGTTAATACACATTATATTATATTTTAGTATATTTTAATAATAAATGTAGGATTAATTAATTTATTACTTACCGATGGTCACCATATTTAGCAAGAGTATTATAAGTAATTTTAAAGCCATTTTAATTTTTCTTAATGTACTGTATAACAAAATAATTATATAATTTCCTTGTATTGAATGACTTTAAAAAATTGGATTTTGTCTCAAACTTTGTTTATTCAATATATTTATATATAAAGTTATTTATAAAATAAAATCAGATTAGATTCACTAATAAAACCAATATCTATACTTCTAAATTATATATCAGAACAGTTGTGCCCATTTAACAGACACCTAAGCTAACTATTGATGTACTGTATAACCTACATAATTTTAAAGTAAATTTTAAGTAATTTATTAAAAATTAATTAATGTAATTTACGTTTTTATATATTTAATCAGTTTATATTAAATATATTTAAATTAAATTAGTTCAGTCCAATTTATGCTTGTTTATTAGAAGTGTAAGATTTATTAAGTAATTATTGAAAGTAAATATTGTGTTAATATTATGAGATAGACATAAATAGTCTGTCAATAGTTAAACTAAACGTTCATTTAATCTAACATGTTATAAATAATAATTTGTAATGCAATTATAAAGTATCAAGTATTAATACCAATTGTCAACTGGACTTATAAAATTGTAATAAAATCAATGTTATTTCATATTAATGTCATGTTTATTGACTGCATCAAGAATTTTATTCAACATTTACAATACTTATTCATAAATTAATTACCATTTTATAATTACATTATAAATTAAAAATATTTAATGAATAAAACTGATCAATACAATTTAAGCAAGAGATTACACAATCATTTTCATGATTACTTAATGTATTTTAAAACAAATACAACATTTATTACTGAAATGTAATTAGATTATCATTATTAAACAAATGCCTAATAAAATTAAACAAATTTAAAATTCAATAATTTATTATCAATACATAAATTGCGAAAATTAAACCAGCTAGGCGCATTCCAATCAACCTTCAACCACCTTCCACACTTTGACCGCCGCATTTCTGGGCCGATTGTGACCTTTACTCGTAAATATATTAGTAATATAAGAGATGGGCGGCAGAGCATCCGGGACTAGCCATTGGCCACTTACCAGGTGGTGATCATCGGGGCCGTGCTCTGGCTTAGTATATTTAATACCCTGCATGTGTTTGGTTTTATAAACGGTAAGTCTGGGTCCTCTACCTAGCTGCTCTTTGCCAAACGCTAGGCTCCCTGACCCCTCGGCCCGGAAAAACAAGCCAGCGTATTCGCTGGTAATCTCCGCCCATTTGACCATGGGCCACAGTGTTTGGGGGTCATCCTGGGTGGGCAGTTGGACATAGATAAAACCGACGGGCACGATGTGCTTGGTCAGCGCTGTCACCGCATCAAACTCCGCTTTCACCTCGTCCATCGCCGCGTTTAGCTGAGCCGTGTACTTCCCAATCAGGGCCTCCAGTTTGGTGTGAGTTATGTCGTCAACTTTTTTGTCCAAAGTAGCTAGGTCGGGCTTATAGTCGTGACATTTGAACGCGGTAAATTGACACACAGCCAGGCCTGTGTGAGTACACGCGTCGTCCAGCCATTTGCCGGCCAATGGCGGCGATACTGACAATTGTAAACACTCTTTGTGCGCATTTGTTGTGTACGCGTAATTGGAGTAGGTCATTTCGGTATTGTCAACCCAGGTGACTTTCCCATCTGCTTGATGACCTATGCCCAGCCACGCGCTCGACACGCCGTACGATTTGACCAGGTCAGTTAGAAATTGATTTTCGTCCTGGTTCCATATGGTGGGTAGCGTTGATGTGGCTAATTCGGTAGTGCAAGCTGCAATTGCCTCGGCCTGAGTCATAACTTTGGTCACGATTACTTTGTAGCATTTTTGCTCGTGGTATGATGTCCAGGTGCCGCAGCTACCAAGCACAAACACGTATTTTTCTAATTAATAATATTGAGTATGTTAAATTATTATTAATTGTTATTTTAGTAATATTTTTAATTAAATAAGATACATTTTTATCTAGATTTGCTATATTTTTACAATGTTATATAAAATTACCTTGTAATATAATCAAAACCACTAGTAAGCTAATTAAAAACATCATTATAAAAATTTTCCACTATTGCAAATAAATTTTAGAGTAATAATAATAAATAACATAAATTGTTTGATAATAACAAAAATTAGGTTTAATAAAAAAATGTTGCATTTATAATAAATGTTGATTAAACTTTATTTAAATAAAACAATATAGATGTATGAAAGTGTTTGAGTTACATAGATGTCTGGTACATTTACTGTACCTGATCAAATAATTTACCACAATATAATGCAATAACATTTCTGATTTAAATAGAAATAAATTTTGTTTTATAACCATAATTTTTTAGTAATTTTTTTTATGCTAATACAGATTTTCAAGTATTTGGCATCATGTATATAACATTCGTGATCATAACATAAATTCATAATATTTTAATTGTAATTAGAGAGAGAGAGAGAAGAGAGAGAGAGAGAGAGAGAGAGAGAGAGATCAAGGATATTTATTAAATGTAGTCTGTTGTATAATGATTATATTTGTTTAATTACGATATATTCATTATAATTTACCATTATTTCACATTAATTTATGCAACATAGACGACATTGTATCATTATCAATTTATTATAAGAATTAATGCGATTATGTTGTTAAATATACAATACTCATTTATTTAATCGTTTTTAAATTATGATATATAAATGTATATTTAACAACATATTTGTCTATTTATCAAATGATAATTTTATGATGTATTCAAAAGAAAATATCTATAAAATAAAACTTAATTAATAAATATTTTATAAATATTATAATTAATAAAAAGTAAAATATTATAAATTAAAGATATTGTTTTACCATCAGTAGACAGTGTATTATCAATATTGCACACAAATTGCTAATTTAGCATTATAACTTTTTAAGATCTTATTTATATCCTGTTTTTACCTAATTTTTGCTAATAAAGCACAAATAATTTATGTATTTTAGTTTGTTTTTAGTTTTATATAAGATATAATTTTGCAATAATTTATAATAATATTTAACTATAAAATGTTATTAAATTTGATACATTTATTTAAAGTACATTTAGTTTTTGAAGTAATAATACATCCATCAATAAATTAATTGCTCGTTTAAATCTATAATGAAACAAAAACTGTTAATTTTAACAACTGTCATTTACGTGACCATAGGTAACAATTAATATTTAATTCATTATTAAATCTATATATTTAATTTACACACTAATTACATTAAAAATAATGTTTAAAAAATATGTTTCAATAGCTATTGTGAATTCTATGGTTATTGACTTAAATCTATGCGGAGATTGGATACCATATAAAAAGGAAAAGTGCTATAAAGTCATTGAAAAACTTGAAAACAGAGACACAGCCATAAACCAGTGCAGACAACTCAACCCTAAAGCCACACCGATAACCATCAGTTCGGTCGACGAACAAGAGTTTGTGACAAAATTGTTGTCCAATTATAGCACAATTGCTGATAGAGTATGGATAACGAGAGATAATCCCAATGGTTATGACAACTATGTTGACCGAAACCATTACAACCAGAGGCATAATTATTGCATTCAAATGGCTATTAATGGTAATCGAAAGGGTAAATAGTATTCAGAGCCCTGTTTCCAGGGGGCGCTCATTGTGTGCGAACGGCCCCAAGAATGGACCATGGCCATTCTCAGCACAGCCATCGAGAATATTACCACGTTGTACGAAAGGCAAAACAAAATGATTCATTATCTACTGGGCCAACATAATATACTGAATTTTGACTCAATCGACGAAGGTAATAAAAGTTCTGCAAATAATACTAATGTAATTGAAGAAAGCCTTGTGATGAAACCTGAACCAGATGAATTAATTACAATTAGTGAATCAAACAAACCCCATTTTCAATGGCATTCATGGGACAAAACGGCATAATTATATGCCTAGAAATATATGCCACACATTTAACTTCTTTTCGATATAATTTGTGGACTATTTTATGATTATAAAAATAAATATTTAAAAATTTTAATCTATACAACTCACATTATTTATTGTAAACAGCGTTATTACACAAAGAAAATATTATACTACATTGATATTAATTAAAATATAATCCATGTTAATACACATGGTTTCAAAGCACGCGCTTCCAGATTTTGGTAGCGGTATTATCGGGGACTTTAATGTCATTTAATGCGCCCCCAATTGGTTCATCCATTTGTTCCCGAAAATCGGTAACACCTCTTGAACTATCTTTCTTTTTGTCAGATATAGCTAAATCATTTTTATTATTTAATTTAGTTTTGCCATGTTCAATTTGATCAGCAAAGCTTTTGTAATCAGTGGTGATATCAGTCCAGTTGGTCTGCGGCCATAGTGTTGTAGGTTCCGATTGGTTGGCCAATTGTATGTATACAAATCCAATTGGTATTGACCCTAAATTAGCCTCTCTAGCGGTTGCTTTGTCCTGTTCATATATTTTGAATTGGTAATTTTATATTAATAATCTTTAAACAACTTTGTAAATTATTTGCACAGAACAATTATTTGTTATAATTTTAATTTGTTTACATTGAGCTGGGTCACGTTATAAAGCATTTCGCTCAATAATGTCACCGTCCACTTTTGTTCTTTAGCGCATAGGGCGTACGCCCGGCGCCCACACGGCTCCGAATACCATTTACCCACAAAGTTTGCATTTACGGACATTTGTACGCAAAAGTTTGCACTAACTGTTTTATAATGTGTCGAAAAGCCGTGATTAAACTCAACTTGAGTATCCCATTTGTCGGGTTCTTGATCTATCCAGTTGCTATAAGTATACTTTGCCTTATCGTTCAACATTCCGGTCCACATTTTGTCCGTCAGATGGCTGTATTCGGATAGAAGTTTATTGACAAAGTTTTGCTCGCGCTCCGATCCGATGGTTATCAACAAAAATTCCGGGTCAAGTTTCTTACATTCGAGTTCAGCAGTGTTTTTATCTAAACGTTTTGGTATTACTTTATAAC